AAGTTGGAAGGGACCTCGGAGGTCATCTAGTCCAACCTCCTGCTCAGGCAGGAAACCCTATACCATTTCGGACAAATGGCTGTCCAGTTTCTTCTTAAAAACTTCCAGTGTTGGCGCATTCACCGCTTCTGGAGGCAGGTTGTTCCACTGGTTAATTGTTCTAACTGTCAGGAAGTTTCTCCTTAGTTCTAGGTTGCTTTCTTTGGTTAGTTTCCATCCATTGCTTCTTGTCCTGCCTTCAGGGGCTTTGGAGAATAGCTTGACTCCCTCTTCTTTGGGGCAGCCCCTGAGATATTGGATCACTGCTATCATGTCACCCCTTCTCTTCATTAAACTAGACATACCCAATTCCTGCAACCGTTCTTCATATGTTTTAGCCTCCAGTCCCCTGATCATCTTTGTTGCTCTTCTCTGCACTCTTTCCAGAGTCTCAACATCCTTTTTATATCGTGGTGACCAAAACTGGCTGCGGTATTCCAAGTGTGGCCTTACCAAGGCCTTGTAAAGTGGTATTAACCCTTCACGTGATCTTGATTCTATCCCTCTGTTAATGCAGCCTAGCACCATGTTGGGTTTTTTGGCAGCTGCAGCACCCTGAAGAAGGCTTAGGAGAGACAGGATGACATCTTCCCCCAAGACCTTCATTTTTCTGTTTGGCATATTTATTTTTTTTCTGATTCTCTCCTAGACTTTTCCTCCGGTCCCTGTGAAACCAGACCATACATCCCATCACAAGAACAAAAAGCGAGCATCCTTTCTCCCCGTGGCGGAAAAACCGTGTCCTGCTTACGTGGCCCCAATAAAAGGCAAGGGTTTTATCACCGGGATGGGTTGCAAGGAAATCTGAGCCTTTCTTGGGTTGAGTTCCAGTAAGTGTTGAAAATGGATGACTTTTGGTTTTGAAGATCCTGGAAGCAGAAGAGGTGATTGGAGGGGACCATGTTGACTTGGGGATCAGAGGTTCCGAAAGACCGGACCTGTTTTCTTTCATCCTAGAATGTAAAGCGCGGGTTGATAATCCTGTGTTACAGGAACATGGATTCAAGTTGAATGTTAGAAAAATTATCTAAAGATAAGGATGATTTGACATTCAGCAACTGTAATCTGGAGAGGTAAAATTATCTAGAGATTAAGAATGGCTTGACCCTTAACACCTATTAATCTGGAGAGATCATGGTAGCTGGGTGGATTAATTTGAATTGCTGTGATTTGGGTTCCTGTGTTGAACAGAGAGTTGAACTTTGAGGCCTTTTCTATCTCTGCAGTTATGATAAGAGCCAGCTAGCTCAGCTTTTCCATCACTTAGTTACCCTTTTTGAGTAGACATTGTTCCTTGGTGTCTTTCTAAGTTGTTATGTCGATGTTGAAACATAGAATAGAGTAGGGCAGAGTAGAATGGAATTAATAGAATACAATACAATACAATACGAGAAAATTTAGAATAGAATAGAAAAAAATAGAATAGAATATAGAAAATTTAGAGCAGAATAGAATAGAACATAATACAATACAATATAATATAATAAAATAGGAGAAAAAATAGACTAGAATAGAAAAAAATAGAATAGAATATAGAAAATTTAGAGTAGAATAGAATAGAGTATGGAATAAAATATGGAATAGAATATGGAATAGAATGGAATGGAATGAAATAAAATACCGTATTTTTCGCACCATAAGACGCACCTGACCATAAGACGCACATAGTTTTTAGAGGAAGAAAACAAGGAAAAAAATATTCTAAATAAATAAAAAATCAGTAATGTTGAAAAAGCTGCGGCCTCCCGAACGCCTGCCGTGGCCTCCCGAATGCCCGCCGCGGCCTCCCAAACGCCCGCCGTGGCCGCCGCGCCCTCCCGAACACCCGC